ACAACCAATTTCGAATTTTCCAACGAGTCGTACATGATGAGACGGTCCAAGCACACTTCCTGGGCTGTTCTATTCCCTTTTTCTGACCTTCTCTCGTCCGTCTTTGTCCCTCTCAAATATTTGAACAATTTTATAACATATTGGACATGGACACACTGCCTAAGTAGAAATGTTTGTGCTTCATAGATTAATTGGTTGGGTAACCATTTTTATATTATTGTTAATTGTCATTAATATAGTTTGTAAATGAATTAATGAGTTTGTTTTCATGTTGCAATAGATTGATGTGTGGCTGAAATTGAAGAAAAAGCAATCATAGATAGTCTTGAGTAGGTAACAAGGTCGATGTTCGTTTTCTTGGTAGGAATATATGTATTTAGTGGAACATAATTTTGAGCTCTTTGTATCCATGAATGAACGCATAGAGTGCATGTTATCCATATCTAAGCACCATCATCTGCCACATCGGTAAGTGCAGCCAATCAAAACACCGCATGATATTACCCATCTTCACTTGGGACCAATGACTGAGAAGCTGACTTGGCATGTCTACATCCACGGATTCAGTGTATTTCAACGCCCTCCCTCTTCCCCAATTCTCACTTCTAAATTCAGGAGAAATAAATCAATAATGGCTTCTCTTGGTGTTTCTGAAATGCTGGGTAACCCCCTTAACTTCAGTGTGGCATCCAGGTCTGCTCCTACACCATCCAACCGCCCGGCCACCACTTTCAAAACATTAGCCCTTTTCTCCAAGAAGCCTGCACCATCTCCAAAGGCTAAGTCTGCTGCTGTGTCCCCTGTCGATGATGAACTCGCCAAGTGGTATGGTAAGCATCGATCAGCTAATCAAATCTAATTTATGTATTATCTAAGTTACATCAACTTTGAATACACGTACTTTGGTTTCAGGACCTGACAGAAGAATTTTCTTGCCTGAGGGCCTTTTGGATAGATCAGAAATCCCCGAATACCTCACTGGAGAAGTTCCCGGAGAGTAAGTTTTATAGATCTTGCTATAAAGAAGTCACTGTTCATGACTCCACTTAAATGTTTTGCCTTCTGTTGATGTGCAAGCAGCTATGGCTATGATCCCTTTGGCCTCAGCAAAAAACCTGAAGACTTCGCAAAGTGAGTGAATTAATATACCTACCTTTCTCTACTCATCACTAGCTAATGAAATTATGTTTGGATTGATATTAATTGTGTTCTTATCCAGGTATCAAGCATATGAGCTGATTCATGCTAGATGGGCTATGCTTGGTGCTGCTGGATTTATCATCCCAGAAGCATTCAACAAATTTGGAGCTAACTGTGGCCCTGAAGCTGTTTGGTTCAAGGTACCTACTATTTATTTACAATTTGGACCTCTTCTCTTTCATCATTATCTTCTTCTGAATCGTGATTCTATTGTTCTATTTATACAGACTGGAGCCCTACTTCTTGATGGAAATACGTTGAATTACTTCGGAAAGAACATTCCCATAAACCTCATTGTTGCTGTGGTTGCTGAGGTTGTACTCGTTGGAGGTGCAGAGTATTACAGAATTATTAATGGCTTGGTATGTCCCAACAATTTGTAAATCTAGTACAGCTATCTTCGTGTGTAATTGGCGTTGGGTAACTAAAACAAAATCACGTATTTTCTGAATTGGGATTTTGATTCGTGTAGGATCTGGAGGACAAACTTCACCCAGGTGGTCCATTTGACCCACTGGGTCTTGCCAAGGATCCAGACCAGGCTGCATTATTGAAGGTGAAGGAGATCAAGAATGGTCGACTAGCCATGTTCTCTATGCTCGGTTTCTTTATCCAGGCATACGTGACTGGACAGGGTCCTGTAGAAAACCTTGCAGCACACTTGAGCGATCCTTTCGGCAACAACTTGCTCACTGTTATTGCCGGAACTGCTGAAAGAGCTCCTACCCTGTAATTCATACATGTAATTTGCAGATTGATGCTGAATATTGTATAATTATCTGCGACATTTTCAAGGTCATCAACCGACTTATTAATTGTAATTGGGAACTAGTTTCATTTCACTCATACAGCTCTTAACATGGAACTCATCTGGGACCAAATCACTCCTACCCATTGAAAATTGAACTTTGAACAAAATATGGATTCAATTTACACTCAAAGAGAGATGATTCAGTATAATACCATGCAGTCTACAGATCTTTTATCTCTATGCAGCATGAAACACAGACTGCAATGTAAAAAGAAAAATGAAGAGGCTTTAATGACGATGACACTGTTATACGCTAATGGATCACAACATAACGAGCGTCTATATATAAGATTGTAGTTGGGAAAAACAGTGATACATTGAAGACTGGGGATGTAGATGCCAAGAAACGAAGATTTCAGACCTGTTTTGCAAAAATGCATATTTTCCCAACAAAATTTCAACACAGTATATTGACAAAATTTAATTTTGGCCACATAAATTGTACACATCAAAAGGTAAGATAATCTTTCAAGACCTGCCTAGCAAGATCAATTGCTCCACTTTTCTTATAGATTAAGTGTAAATTGTAAGCTGCTTCCCTACGAAGATCACAGTAGCCTGGCCTTTTATAATCCATAGGATCCTGATTCTCATTTGGAAGTTTTGGGATGGGATAATCCTTCTCAGGCATTGCCAATACCTTCTCGTAATATGTGGTAGCCAAAGAAACAAGACCAATATGATGATATGCCCGAGCAATGTTATATAATGCTTCCTGCAAATGAATTTGAACTTTCAGTATGCATGTTTGATAAGAAGTGCTAGACATGACTAGATAGGATAACGAGAAAGATTTTAACGGATCATATGCATGTTTGATAAGAAGTGCTAGACATGACTAGATAGGACAACGAGAAAGATTTTAACGGATCAGAAATAACCTGGCTGTTGTCACAAAGTCGGATATTGTTACACAGGAATGCAAGTCCTTGTGCCATACACTGATGCTTGTTTTGAAGTCTGAGCCCAAGGGCTAAATTTATTAAGGCAGTTCCTAAGGAAAAAGAAAAATATGAAACCTTTCGTAACATTTAAATATAATCAATTTCAAAGTTTCGTAAGTTTGGACGCTTCCTTTTTTGTCACTTTTGAGGAAAAGATTCGTACCCACACAGAGATTGATCAAGGGACTGTCTGGCATAAGTTTATAGGCTTCCAGATATTCTCGAGCAGCAGCCTGATGCTGACTTATCATGGTAAACATATGTGCAGAAATCATAATTGGTGGCACAGAATCTTTGTGCTTGACTCGCATGCTATGCAAAAATTTGTTGTGCTTTGAATACCGATTATCCATTCTACACAAGAAAACTGATTGTTAACAAACCCGTACAAGTACATGCAATTATAGATCAAAAACACCATATTGACATGGGCATTAATTCCCAAAGATGCAAATGTGATTCCATTGCATAAGAAGATCTAAAAGTATGAGATGTTATTTGGTTGGCATGAAACACATCCTATAAATGATTTGGCTCGAATTTTGTGCTGAAATAGGTACATTTCTGGAACTCGTCATAATTTCAGTTACAATTTCTGTTTAAAAATGAATTATCTCATCAACATTATGATCCCCCAAAAATATAATAAATACCATTTACCCTATCTCCATATCCTAACCTAGATACCTGATAAACCACAGAGTGATTTTACTAATTGCAGGAGCAAGAGAGAAGCATATAGGATATTTCCAGAATAGAAGTAGGCCGCAAACGTGAATAAATAGGAGGGGGGGTGGGTTTCATGTCATTCATCCAGAAAATAGGGAGAGAAGCTGAACCTCTCGAAAGTTCAAAATAGGGATTTCATGTCTCTCAGGTCATTGCTCTATAACTCAAATCCTTTATTTCCTGGTTCATTGAAAAAAATACAATTTTATCTGCTTTTAAATCTACCGTGCATTCTGTTCAGCAAATTTAAAGATCTTATCAACAACTGCAACACCCCCCCACCCCCCTAAACACCAAATACCAAATAAAATTTCATCTCAATTACCATCTAGACAAAAATACCAGCACAACCAATAAAAACAGTACTGAAACCCCACTTCTGCTGCCACGGATCACCATAAATGTCCAATGCCACTATACTCTAGGATCTTATGGAAAGACCACTACAAACCCAACAAAGCCGGAGGAAAAATGAAAAATGTGCCACAGATCATGAAATTTATACTGCTCACCATTGCCAAAACTTATTTTTTCTCCTGTCTAGAACTACAATCCATGCGTTCTTCTGAACCTGCGGAACTCCAGATCTGATGATGGAAGGATTTGAATGTACATCTCTCTTCATTGAACAATTTTTTTCACAGTAGTACCCATGTTAACTTCAGCATTACTAAAGACTAAATTGGCTTCGTCAAATGATAAAATAAGAGATCAATATTTACACCATGTGAAAGTAAAACCGACGATAAATTAGGGATCACGACCTAGATGATAGAGAATGTCTAGCTGAGACATATCTAGCACAGACCTAAAGAAATTTCCATTCACAAGGACAATAATCCACTAAAACATGTTAGAAGAGTCAGAGGTAAACCAAACTAATGTGGTCTAGTGTTGTTGCAAGAAAAAAAAAAAACATCATTGAACAATTCAATACACATATTATGAAAAAGGGCTCATGCAGCAAGTTTATTTGAAATAAGGGCCTAGCTTTAATGTATATCTTAAACAAAGTACAATATAATCTGATGGCCAATGTCCGAGCAGAGCCAGATTATTGTGAGAATACACAAGGAAGATGTGAGAAGTATTCTCTTAATTCTTAAAGCCACATCAATAAAGCAAACTAAACAACATTGGCAAATGCACAAATGAGAGCACTAACCTCGACATTACTTTGTAGTAGCAATTCCAGGCAGAGAAGCTGTAAGGATGCCGACTCACAATGTAACGCACACAATCCCACCCATGTGCAGGATCTGAAATGTTATATGCTACTTCTACATGATATAAACATAATCAAATGCTTTAGAACTTTCTTTCGTTATCTTGCATCCTATATCCATTACAATAACAATGAAAACATTGCATAAAAATGCAGATAAGGAAAGAAGATAACCTCAATATTTATAAATTCAAAACTTACGAGCTCCGAGAGTTCGAAGATCCTCCTTCCTTTCAGGAGACAATGTGTTGCATGCCAGTTTCAAACACAGGTTGATGATCTGTAAAGCATCCCAATACCTTTGCAAGGCTGACAAGGACTTGCATAACTATGGAAATATACCATAAAAAATATTTTTTCAGTTGGAGACAATTTAAGAATTATATAAAATTATCAATAAAGACAACAGAAAATAGAAATTTATNAAAGACAACAGAAAATAGAAATTTATATTAAAACATAAGTCTGACAATGCAGTGATTTTAGATTTCCATTGGACGAGATTTGAATAGTCAATTGAGGAAGAAAACTCATGATATAGAATAGTTTTAGGACATTTTGGTTATGGCAAAAGGAATAAAGAAGGCAATATTTTAGACTTCAAGACATCAATATAACATAAATATAATTGAGCAATCATGAATCTTGGAGCTGGTGTGAGGTCTTATTAATATAGATTTGCATCAAAGTTCCAACCCAATTCGGTGTGTTACCAAAGGATATAGTAGTAATTGATGAAATTAACAGGATAAATCATAAATTAGAACTTTAGAGAAAGCTTTCTAATCTAAAGGTAGATTAAGTAGAGTTGCAACTAGATCCATATAATGCTCTTTAATCATAGCACATGTAAAGCAAACAGTGAAATCACAGTACGGAGCCAGGAATGAACGGTACAGGGGCAAAAATTTTTAAAATTTAATGTACGAATAAAACTTATATATAACAAGAAAAATTGTAATATAATGTTACATATTACAGTTGTACCCGACGATATATTATAGCATTAAATTCATCTATAATAGAATCTAAATCTAAATTAAACTAGTATCTCCAGCTCGTTACAAATTACCAATCTGATTAGCCCCCACTTCCTGAGTCTCTTTCTCCAATTTCCAACAAATGCTCAATTTCTTTTCTTTGGGCACTTTTCAACTCTTTGATACGCTTAGGAGATGATGTAATCATATTAATAACACCGTCCAAATGAGAAAAATGCCACTCACTAAATAGTCATGATAAGGTTAGTAACTGTACTTGCTGAATCCTCAGTCATCTATGTCTATGGCTCATGTCCTTATGGATCTTTGGTTATTGTTCCCAGCTTCTGGAATGGAATAACGATGAAAATCATGATCCAGAGTTTATAAAGGAGAAGTGTGAAATAAAAGACGTCGAAGGACTTAGACTCTTGCATGAAGAAGTCTTTTCACGTGAAAGAGAGAGAAGCATTTCTCAAGGAAATTGAAATTCTTAGGAGCCAATTGAAGTCATGCACTGAAACACCAACAAACAAATCAATGACAGGCTTAGATCCTCTTTGTTGTTGCAATCTATCCAGTTGAGGAGAAGCAGCACATATGCACGAGGTAATAATGAGGAAGAATTCAAGAAGGAAAGAGTAAGGTGGATGGAAATGGAGAGCGAGTGGCTTTCATTGACTGATGAATTGAGAATTGATCTTGAGTCCATCTGTCAAAGAGCAGAAAAGGTGGAAATGGAATTGAGATTAGAGAAGAAGTGCCCAGAAGAATTGGATGATTTACTAAAAAGATCTGTTCTTGGGCATGCTAGACACGGCCACTGAAGCTGCTTCCTCTGCTTCTCTCAACCTAACAAGAAGTTCACCTGCAGCATGTACAGCTTTTGCTGTGTCTTTAAGCTGAATTTTAAGACTTTGATTCTCATTCTTCAGTAAATCCCTTTCCCTCTCTCTTTCCACCCTAAAAGTGGAAAGCTCTGCTGCAAAGGACTTGGCAAAACGAGAGCCATGACCTTTCTCTCCTGCTATTTTAGCTGTCCTTTTCACCTCTGCTATCCCTTCCATAATTGGGTTTTCAATTGCGCTACTGCCTACTGGGCTTGAACAGTGGGCTACAACCAATTTACCTATATTTTTAATGCAGCCCACCACTGGATCCGCCCATGATCACAGTAGAGAATCAAGTTGTCGATTGCTTCAAGTAATTAGGTTCAATTTTCAGTAAGGAAGGAGATAACAAGATGTAAAGCATTAGTACTAGAGCTGGTTGGACAATAGACGAAGTGGAGAACTGTTGCAGGGCTTAACACTTTCCAAGCTAGAAGACAATATCATCATATAAGTTGGTAAACCAACTATGCTTTGGACAATTAAGTTGGGTCACAAATAGGAATGAGAATAAGATGGACAGGCAAACCCCTAAAATTTATCAATAAGAAATGAGGATATATGCTAAAAATGATTTGACTTCATTTAACTTTTAGTATAATTAATCTAGTTGTCAAACTAAACATTTTACCAACTATGCTTTGGATAATTGAGTTGGATCACTAATAGGAATGAGAATAAGATGGATAGGCGATCCCCTAAAATTTGATCGATAAGAAATGAGGATATATGCTAAAAAAGATTTGACTTCATTTAACTTTTAGTAGAATTAATATAGTTGTACAAACTTTGTTTACAAACTAAACATTGACGAGATCTAGGTCATTGATTTCCATTGATTTGAAAAACTATTGGCCTAGATGTTGCCAACACATAGTTTGTAAGCCAAGTTTGTCAACCTAGTTTGTACGAATAGCATGATTCCTTTTAGCATATGTAGCTTTGGATTGGACAAAAAATAAAATAAAATAAATCTCGTAACTATCCTATGCTAAAAAATATTTGACTTAGTATATGTAGCTTTAGATTGAACCAAACGGCAAAAATAATAAATCAATAAAATAAAATCGTGTAACCAACCATAGGTTTATTAAGGATAATTCTTGATTAGATCCAATCGATTCATGAACAACGTAAAAATATGAGAAAAGTGATAATTGTATTTTATACACTGATTCAGGAGCCTAAAATATCGATATTTGATAATTCTTTTGACAAAATATATCTTAAATTGTTGTATTTTATGTTATATAGGTAAAACTCAATGGTTGAACAAGGAATTGGAAGAAACAAGAGAAAATCAAGGAAAAATGGCAAAATCCAAAGTTTGGGGATTGAATTGTAAATATTCAATACTTGATTCGGACACAAAAAGATACTTTGAAAATTGTTAGGAGACAATTGGATAGAATTAGAACTCGAAAAGGAATGGCATATGATCAAACTATTATCAAAATCAATTTTCAATCGCACAAGTTATATTCCAGATTTTTAGCCGAATATTGAGACCCATTTTTGGCACAGTAAACGTTTGAATTGAAAAAATTCCATTTCTATAAAAGTTGTAGCCCTTTGAGTTAGCTTTCCAATGCACTTTGAATTGCCTCACTCGGATATCAGAAAAGAGAGTTATGAGCAAAATACTGACAGTTGTGTAGAGATAAAAAAAATCCGCGTGCAAATGCGACTCTCCTTATTCGATTGGAACTGTTTTGGAATCCAATTTGGACGTGATTTTCAACCAAAATTCAACTCCTACAAATACCTAACAGCAGAATACATATGAGAGACCTCTCATATTTATCTCATACTCTAATATTCATCATTTATTATCATCAAAAGAGGAAAACTCATAGTTTTTGTTAGAGAATTGAAGGGGACTTGCAAGAATTCAATCAAGTGAAGATTCAAATTTGATTTTTAGGCAAAGAAGAGAAGGTGCAAGTGGAGATTCACCAAGAAACCATTGAAGAGATTCAAGATTTCAAAATTTATCTTCATCTTCTCAATTTATCAAAAATTCGAATTATGTTTTTTCACTTAAATATGATTTCTTGTAATTTCGATATATTATGCTAGTTTTATACATTGCTAGGATGAGATGAACCCTTGTTATGAGATTTTTGATATTAATTAATTATTTTGACGACTAGTTTTCTTGGATGTTTATTATTGTTTTCACCGATTTTTCAATTAATTAGCTCCTAATTGACATGATTTATTGGAATCTATTATTCTCGAGAGAGATAATAGGTTTTTAGCTAAAAATAATAAACATTGTAAAGTTCGATAGAGGATAAATCTATTATTCTCGAGAGAGATAATAGGTTTTTAGCTAAAAATAATAAACAGTGGAAAGTTCGATAGAGGATAAGGATATACCTCTATGCTTTACTTGGTTTCCATAGGTATTCTAGATCGTTTAATGCATTTATCATGTTTGCATATTTCATCGAGATATGAGGGTCACCTGAGGGAAATTTATTTAATAACTATCGAGAGAGGTTTTTAATTAAATTAGGAACTCCGACCAACAAGAATGATTACAAATTGTCACTTTAATTCGTTGTGCTAAAAATGGATTACTAAGGGGGATTCAACATCTTAGCAATATTTTCACATATTTGAAATCAAACCAGTTATATAGCTTTCTAGTTTAATCGATAATTTAATAATTAATATCGAAAACTCAAAACCTATTTGCTATTCGATTAAGGTTGCTATTAATTTGAACTCGATTGAATACTTAATCCTTGTGGGTTCGACACTCTATACACTACTATATTACTTGTTCACAATTCTGTTCACTTGTGGAAAATCAAACGACCAAAAAGCTAGATAACAACCTTATAGTAGAATTTCTCCAAGATACAAGGACAAGAAATGGAAAGCTTACGAGGAGAAAAAGTTGAAAAGAAACATTCAAGTACACAATGCATGGAGAGAGAGGAATTGCAAGCATGAGACTTACATCTATGATGAGATGATGGTACTCTTCATTTTTTAGAATTGGCAACGGAGGCTCAAGCAAATCTTTCTGCAAAAATTATTAGATGATTCAATCAAATCTTAATAATCCAAAAGCGAATAATTTTGGTTCAATTCACATAAAACTTTGACTTCTTACAGGGCACTCATCATCTGAATCATCACTCTTCCAATCAATCCCAGCAGCCAATGCTGCAGCTTTTTTTGTTTCCTTTATTGTAGCCTTCTTCCGAAGCAACCTCTTCGCTCTGGAAGCTTTTGACCTGTTACATTGTAACAAGGAAATGATAATTATTCCACAATATAAACTAATGATGCACTAATAACACATATTCCACCATTTCAACTACATTACATCTTGTACAATTACAAATTTCTAAAGCTGGAACAGCAAATCATTCTGCAAAGCTGATTTCGGGCTGGCTAAATGAATTGACACTTGTTCACCAATGGAAAAAGAAAAACAACTTCACGAACCAAACCCCACTATCCCAATAGATTTCCCACTCTAAGTTCCCTAATAAGAGCTTCCTCCATAAATTTGCTGTAAATGCATGATGGATTGTCACTAAATTGAATATTAGAACAGTTATATAGGAGGTGAAGCATGTTTCTTCTGAACTGTTTTGAACTCCACATCAAATCAACAGTGGTAGTGTGCCAAATCTCTAGCACAAATGTTATAAAGGATCTGTAACTAATATAACTTGGATAGACGAATAAAAAGGCTCCAACATAATTTCACAGGGCAAAACTTTAGAAGTTACACATAAAATCTACAGGACAACGAAGGCCAATACTCTTCCAACACTGTCCCATCTATCTAAGCAAATGAACATAATAATTTATGTGAATGAAAAGATGAAAATTTCAACTTAGTACAAAACAAGTTGACAAATTGGAGGCATTACAGTGCACCACTAAATACTATTTCAGAATAATAATAATAATAATCATGATGATGATGATGATGATGATGATGATGATGATGATGATGGAAAAACTAGTCAGCAAGAAGTTTGAGACTCTCTATTTTCACATAGATCTATTGTTTTCTTTAGAGTTAGTTCCTACAAGATTAAAAACCCTTCTTCCATTCCACTGCCAAATTCTCATCCATAGCTTCTTCACGGACTGAAAATTGTCTTCAACATGTTCCACTAACTTAAAGAACAACATTTTTTTATATTTAGATGGTTCAGAATGCAAATGACTTTGTCCGCGCTATTCTAGTGTCATCATGTGGAAGCACTGGACCATCATTTCCATAATGCAATAAGAAATTAGCAAGTAATGTTATCCAAGTTCCTCTAGTATCACTGTTTGGGATAACATAGTTCCCAGTACGTTCCCTTCACACTATTCCCACGTTTAAAACTGAGAAGCATCATGTAGTAGTAACAACGGTTAGATAATGCCCAAGTGTTATCATTATTCAACTTAAATATCTCATAAGATAGAGGTCTTGGGTTTGAACCCTAAGAGAGGCCATAAAAATTTGTTAGGGGTAAGATTGACTAGACTTTCCCAAAGCGGACAGTATGTAAAAGAACGGTCGGGCACGAGGCTAGAATCGTTAAAAATGCGCGTTTTTTTTAAGAAAACGAATTTTGTAATAGCAATTTTTTCGAGAATATGTGGTCAAAACATAAGAAAACGTTTTGAGTTTACGTGAAAAGTAATTTTATTGGGAGAATGTGCGGTTGAAAATGAGTTTGACGAAAAATGAATTTTTAGACAATGGGGCTCAAACAGGGGCTTACTATAGAAAGAAAAATGAGAAGGAATAGAAGAAAGGGAGAGAAAATAAGTATATTCTTCAAATTCAAAAGGAAAAATTAATAAGGAGAGCACATCAACGACAAAATTGAATTCAAGTTTTGCATCGTTATTTTAAAATCATGAGGTAAAAATATATGCACGCTTGTAATATGAATTCCATTTCTATAATTATTATGAATACAAACCTACAGAAGAATAAAATAGGTTATTCTTTAAAGGAAATTGTGATCGAAAATGATGCAAAGAGAGAATGAGATGGATTGAACACGTAGTAATACATAGAATAAATGTCTATATGAGATATTGTGATGGCATATACATTTTATAGCTCAATTTTGTAATGGAAACGAAAAGGAAGAAAAGTTTTTGACACATTCTTGTAGGGAGGAAATCCATTGCATTATATTTTATTGAATTTCACAACTCGTGTTATTTTTCTAACACAAATTTCCAGTATTAATTGTATTAAGGTTTGTTGTTCAAGTAGAGGAACGAAGAGTGGACTTGATGGAAAGAGGAAAAGTGAAATAAACAAGTTCTTACGCGAACATGGAGGTTATTTTCATTATTATATGCCATCAAAGAATTAATTATTTTATTTTACTTATGATTTTTTAGATGCAATTAGCGTTAAGTAATTAGTTCTGAAATTTTTTTTGTAGCATCTCTTATGCATTAACTATCTTTAGTTTTCTTGGAATTTAACAACAAAGCTTGCCTATTTTCAAAAATGTTTGCTAGATTAGGCAGTCCTGAATTCACTTACTAAAGCAAAAATTAAGTGACTTAAGTATAAACTTAGAATATGAAAATGACACAATAACGAGTAACCTCTCATCCTTTTTGAACCACATCAAAACTAGCCAATACTAATAGATTTTTCTACAAAAGTATTTTTTTTTTTTTTTTTGAATAAGACATTATGAGTACGTTGATTAATCGATTTAAAAAAAAACTACTCAACAACCTTTCATCAAACCCAGACAAACTCCTGAAAGAAGCAAATGTAAAATCATCCAAACCCAGTAAATATTAAAATTTCTCTATAACATCCTCCAATTTTCACTGTTTTTCTACCATTGTGTAATCTCCCTATAAATACATCTATAGACCTTTTACACCCCATCTCATAATTCATTTTCGGAGAACATCTTTCCAAAACTGAAGCGTATCTCCTTTTCGATTTCTTCTTACCTCAACGAAAGACACTCATCCTTCCCTTCCAGCTTATCAATCACATTCTTCTCCTGAGACTAGCAAAACTATGAAAAAAACACCTTGGATTTGCATCTGCCTCCACCCATTATTTTCTGTCACCAAGAAATTAGATACTGAAGCACAATCTCTTCAAACATATTATTAATGTTAATACCCTTCCACTAAAACATCAAAGGGAAATCTGATGACTTGCGTACAGTTTTTAATAAATCTTGAACAGTCCTGGGACACGCATGGGGTGAAGGATCATGATACTTCTTTGAGTAAAATTTATTTACTTTCGATAACAAAGAAGTATTAATATGTAAATACAATAAATGTATGAAGCAACGAAATTGACGTGGTCAGCTTCTTCAAGTAAACTAAGGTTCATAAGAATTAGGTGCCAAATTCGAATTTATACACCTGAAATTTTGAATCTTTTAGCTGCATGAGTTGAGAAAGTTAAAATGCCCAGACCATCAGCAAGTTCAAATTTTAGACATCTAGACCTGAAAGCAAACTGAAAAGAACAGATGATACTCACAGTTCTGCAGCCGAAGCAACAGGCTTAAATCCCTGAAACACATTACCAGTTTGATAGTCATCTAGAACCTTCGCCCTTTCATGAAGAACAGTAGTTGAAAGCCGTTTCCGGGCTTTAACCTAAATCCATACATTGAAGAAATAAAGTGAAACGATGAATTAAATTTATCTTTGTAGCCAAAGAAAAGTTCATTAGGAATCAGGCATTGCTTGTTTTCGTTGTCGTCAAACACATTTCATGAAATTGTTTTCAATAATCCTGTAAATTTCTTCTATAATTCTGTTATATTCATAAGGACATTTTATTTTCCACAGTTATCTTTCCTCTCTATTAATGAAATTTTTTTTAAAAGGGACGAACTATTTTATCAATAGAATTTCTACTCAATGCCATCTTATATCAGAAGAAATAATAATGTGTCTCTTTGGCATGAGCATATGCAGGAGAGAGAGAGAGTGCATGTGTGTGTGTGTAATATTGTACCTTTTGTTGGAAAGTTTCGAGAAACAATGTATCACGAATTACAGGAAAAATCACATCTACAAAAGCCTCAAAGGACCCTTGAGCTTTATAAATTTGAGAAAGCTTCAACTTTATCTTTCCATTAAGCCACCATGGTCTAGATATGCGTGAAGTTGGCTCAAGTGCTGATTCTGAAAACGTAAAAGAAAACTTATTAAGAAAGGTTACAGGTTCTAACATACAAAAAAATTCAACAAGAACAAAAATACCTGATTCCATTGGAGGAGACAGCACAGAAATGGCTTCATCATCTCTACCTTCTTCAAGGAGAAGAGACGATAGAGTTAACCGAGCATCAACACTGTCATCAAGTTGATGAATAGCTGTCGAGCAACAAGAATGGATGTAGATTTTAATAGCTTATTGTAGAACAAGGGAATAAAACAATACAACCAAATGGTAGTTTGACTTGCATTATTGAGTACTTTAAATACAGCATTCGTTTACATACCTTTGTAAAAATATTCGATTGCTTGTACTCTTTTCCTCAGAGAAACATAACACTTGGCAATTTTCAGATGTAGATACCCCTAAAGGCAAGCCAAATGAATGGTCAATTCTGAATAATTTTCTAGTGATAACGAATCTGAAGGAATTTCAGATGCTTAAGATTAGTCAGTCAGAAAGTTCACAGAAACAAGTAGCATATCTTGACTGCAAAGTATGAATGAAGAAAAAGAAGCAGAAGATGATGCTTAGCTACATGAGTTCCCAAAGCATGATTTGAAATCAAGCAAATGTCACGAGACATTAGAGAGTGTACACTGGTGAAGAATGAAATACTTCACAAATTAAGTAATTTGCATTTCATACAGTTGGACTTTACACCTGCATCAATCTATATCAAGCCGACATAAACATTTAATTCAGGCATTTCCACTTGTAAGAACCACGCTGATTAGAAGAATAAGACATTAACAAATTCTGAGGGGTTCAGTGCATTCCTTAAAGAGGAAGAATAATATATAAACACAATCATTTACTTACATTATACTTATTTCCATCTCCGTCTAACATCATATAGTACTTCAGTGCAGATTCATACTGCTCAACAGTCATCAGTGAATCTGCAACTTCAATTATTAAGTGCGGATGAGTACATGCATTCTCCTGCTGCAGAACACTGAAGATAGCCTGACATAATATAGAAAAGCATCAAGAAAGTGCAAAGCAAATCTTCGACCAAAATCCATAAGAAATGTCAATTATCATAGTATCAAATGATAAGTGCAAAATAGGTTGAGAGGAACAAGAGAAAAATGTGGTCAATAACTATACATTAAGTATCAGAAAAGTACGAGGTCCAACATCATCCAGTAGGGAAAGGATAAATAACTAATACGCTCCTCATACTGCCTGAAGTCCACTGCATCTAGAAACAATTGAGCATGAACCATCGGAACTGAAATAAACAGATTATAAACGAGCTCAACCAGAAAGACGATTTACACAGAAACTGAACGTAAAAGACTGGTCCGATATGCACAAAATGACAATCTCAGAGATGACACACTTGGTACTTAAACGGCGAGGCATACTGCTAGTGAACCTTTGGAAAATTAGAAAAGGTCAAAAGAACTACACGCGTTCCTCCATCACAGCAGTGCTGCATCATCCAAATGAGATCCAAAGATTTACATAAGTATCAACTTCAACACGACACCTTAAAAGATAAGATTGATACAAATTTCAAGTCAGAGATGAATCTGAACAGTAAGCCTAAATTTCATTGAGACTTTATTGCAAGCAAACGAACATTGAAATAAAAAGTTCGTGACAACGAGGTCAATAACAAGAAACATATTTCTCCTTTAGGTGCAAAAACATATGTTAGAAATTAATACTGTTACACAAATCTTTAGACTGACCACCTGGTTGAAGATGATAAAGCGTGATTTGTGGAAAGGGAATATAACTTTGAAGAGATACAAAAGAAACCATTACAATAACACCTACCAATAAAGTATGAACCAAAGCAGTACACACATCCTTTCCTCTCACACCTGTCCAACCTATATATCCATTTCCGGCAATTTAGTGTATTTCCCCACCAATTTTCTTGTTAACATATTCATTTGGAAAATAGAACTCCTAAGCAAAACAACAATAAGGAAACAATATATAAATGTGGCAGAAAACAGCCATGCAGAATGTAGAAGAATCAAAAGATCTACATATATTGTCCAACCTATATCCACACATAAATTCATGATATCAAAAAGAGGAATAAGCATACATTTGCACCCCTGTATACTGCTCAAAATGTTCTACTTTTATTGGAATTATCACAAATATTTAACATAAACAAAATCCTAAGTAAAAATAACTTGAATTGTTAGAAGCAACTGACAATTATCAGATGCAGTTCAAACGAACCTCTGCTTTCTCCATCTGTCTAAGATGAGCATGACATATTCCAGATTTAATAAGTAAATGCAGTGGAATGTCTTTCCCAGCACAGTAGACCTGCTGCGCATGCTCAATATGTTCAAGAGCTTTGTTATATGCTTCGCCTTCCATGTGTACTGAAGCTAAGAGATCGACCATACTTAAATCAGCATCATTGACATGATTTGTGAGATAATCCTCAAGGATACAGATAGCTCGCTCACGTTGGCCGCATTTTTTATACAGCTGAAAATAAAAATGAGAAACTAAGTCCCCAGGGAGAGTGCGAAAGTTCTCTTTAATACACCACATG